AACGAGGTCCTCTATACAAAATATCTTGAAGCTAGTCACAATGTACGGCCCTTTCCCAAAGTTGCCTTTATACAACAGCAGAGTAGCCACAATAGGGCCAGGGGGCACTTCCCCCCCCCCAAAAAAATAAATAAATAGAACGGAGGAATGGATATTGAATAAGGCTAACAAAAACTTGTCCCGCCTAAAAAAAGCACACCAGTGAAAGTTAGTACCTCCCCATAAGATGCTGGTGCCCCCTTGTGCCTCCCACTAGTAAAATCCTAGCTACGTCACTGTTACACAACACTTTAATCTGCGCGCGATCGTCGCAACCCTCAAGGTAGAACACCGCCCGGATGTCATGTTCTAGTGTGCGCCAAAAAGGCCGCCCAAGTACATGCAATGAACATGAGCAGGAATGATTCGAATGCGCAGGGTGTGAGATGATCGTGTCGGACAGCCTTCGAAGCAGAAATTTCAAACAAAATTGCTCGACAACGGCAAACTTTGATATACCTGATTTTCCACTCCACGAGTTCTCTGTGACAATGAGCGATTTGTCGCAAATTCCCCTGGTCATTATGAACGACCGTGTAAATGTTTGCAAATTGTTTCCACGTAATTATTTCAATGTGTTGCGGTAACATCTGCTGAGCCCACGGACGGATGTGGCTGGGCTATTTTTATGCAATCTGGAGACATCTGACTTGAGCAGATTCCAGCTTGTTTATCTAAGTGATGGGTTTAGGGAAAGTAAACGAATTGGGTTGGTCTTTTTTTTTTCGATGCAATCCAAATCAACATCGGCAGAGAATCGTATAAATCTCATGCCCATACGACAAAAATGTCTACATCCCAGGAGTGGAAAAGAAAAAAAAGTCTTCAAATTGTTATGCACTTCATGAATCGGAGCATTTTTAAACTTGGGCACTCATGTTTAAATCAATAAAAGAAAAAAGGTTAACTCCCCGAAGCGGAGAAAGGAAGGGGAATAGACAGCCAGAAACAAACAAGTCATTTAATAGTAAAACAATGTAAAGCTAATACAAATCGATGGATACATTTGTCTTGTTTATGTATATCAACAAAAAAGGAAATACTTTTGTTTTTCATTTTTGTATTGACATGGTGTTTGTATTTACATTATGAAAAACCAAACGGAAGCTTAGACAGGGTGATCCATGGGAAAAAGAGCTTAAGTGGGACCTAGTTAGGAACAATACCTGCACGCGTCTACGGAAAGGCAATTCCCCAATTACTCCTCGGCTTGGAAGAAAGCCAACAAGAAAATGAAATCAGAGGTGATGTGTCATTCATTTTTAGTTCTTTTTATTCAATATACGCCAAGGACTGCATGGCGCATTGTTTGCGCTGTCTGTCTTTGTAGGATGTGGTTTGTTATTTTTATCAGAATTTTTGTGTCGGTGTGTCTCCAAATCGAGATCGGGCATGCCGTTTGGGTCGGTGCATTGCAATGTCTTTGCCCCCCTGAATCTTAACATCTCGAGATAATGTACCACTTCCTGCTTTTTGTAAATACTCGTGAGAACGCTGCCTCAAACAGATTCGTGGCTGTGTCGCTCCACCTTCCATAGGGAAAACAAAAAGGGACAGAACAGACTATGATGTCAGAGCTAGCACAAGCCTTGAACAGGGAAAACAACGCGAAAGCAGGACAGAGTCCTTTTAATAAAGTGATGTCCACTCCCCATTTCCCTTTTTTTGTATTCTGAACAACACCACCGAATTTGTCTGAATGAACCCATTCATCTTCCAAAATAATCACGTACGACTAGAACACGCATATAACTCACCCAACTCAACCAATCTACCAAAAAAGTAAAACACGTTGTGAAAATCTCTTCTGCTATCATGTTTCCTTTTTCTCTAACCGGCTTCTTCTGGACAATGCCGATACAAATTCATTCTACGCAAGGTAAGGTGAACTAAAATGAGCAAATCAAAAATTGAGAATGGAAAGATGAATTCAACAAAAAGTAGAGAACCTCTTATTCGGCATTGTACCCGCCTTTCAGTCTGTGATTTTCTAAAGAGAAAAGTTTCTGTACACACATTCTACAATGGGGACCGATAAGGCATGTCTGAACTCAGGACGCGGGAATATTCAGCAGAGGTCCGACTTCCGTGCAAATCGGCGATAATTTGCATGCGATAATTCGTTTAAAGTTTTCTAAATTTACTTACATATCAAATTGGCTGGGCGAGGCTCGCTCAATGAAGTGCGTAGCTAAGCAACCGTTGCACGTCAATTATGATTCATATTTTTTGTTTCCTTTTGTGTGATATGTTTTTGAGGAAAAGCATTAAAATTACTTTTCAAGCAATCTTCAAGTGAAGGTGAAGGTACAAAGAAAATAGCGTCGGTTGAGGGAAAAATTACAACTATGCAACATTTGCAACATTTGCAACATTTTGTGTGGTTTTGTGAAAATTGAACGACCCTGCCCACCCTTTACGTTTTGAAAATATCAGCTTGCTTGATTTCTCAACAAAAAAGTACCATCGATGCTATTCTCAGTCGTCTGTTGTCCATGCAGACCTTATTACAGTGGTGGGCCGGGCACTAATAATACATGGAATTCAGCGTTACATACTTCTTAGACTAAACCAGTTTTCATCCTGCATTTTACTCCCCCAGGACCTTTTAAAACACTCTTTTTAGCCGAACAAAGAGTAGTCTAAACCAACCTGACGGTCGGGTATCGCCTGCCAATTTACAACATGTTACCTCCGGGCATGCAGCATGAAAAAGAGCAACTCTCGGTGAAACGAAAGTTTCTGCAGTTGAAAACGGTCTTCTTTAAGCTGAAGCGGGGCGCCCACGCGAGACAGCTGCCTTACCTTCCCACGATGCCATCGCGGTCACTATTTATTTTCCTAAACGGCCTCCCCTTTATTGGGTTTTCTTAGCCGCTGCTTAATCAATTGTTGATACTCCAGATCCAAGGGGTGGCAAAACAGAATTGCTGGTGTGAATGAACGAAAACATCATGAGAAGGGGGGGGGAGACGCCGGAAGACGGGAAGGGTAGATACTTCAAACTATCGCACACCTGTGGGCGTAGAAGACAGCCCCCACCTTCTTAAGGCTAGCCCAATCGGGGATGAGTTTGCACATTCTCTGTTTACTTTCACTCTTACAGAACTTGGTACTGCTATCTCAATTCTACCCTTAGGAGACCCCCTTTTCCAAAAAAGAACTAAAAATCATTTCGGTTTTGAAACAGTAAAGTTTTCTCTTCTCTCGAATGAAATTCAACCGAGCGATTAATGGATAATTATTCTTAATTCTTTCGATATATTTGATTCAGTTATTTTTCTCTTTCCAATACACCAGGATAAAGCTTTGGCACTATAGAATGTGCAGGTAGTTTATAATGATTGTAAAACCACAAAAAATTTATTTAAAAAGTAGATTTGTGAACAAAGTTCCCTGAAATGCGTTCCTTGCATAGCTTTCCTTTTCACAGTAAATGAGTATCGATTCCATCTTTGCTCCTCAAAACTTTCTTGTCATTTTTGGCCTTTGCAGAATTTAGGAATGATGGGAAAACAAAACAAACAGAAGCCAAGGTTTGCATTTCATGATGCCTTTCCTTTTACCTGCAATTTTGACATTTGAGAAGTATTTCCGTAAAAAAAGGTTCTTCTTTCCATCAATATTTCCCCGGTGAGGGGCTGTCATATTTTCTCCTGGGGCTGGTTGACAGATGTCCTCAACACGGCGCCCAAAATACCTACGTACAATCGATGATGACTTTCAAAACCACGACGTCAGTCAGCGGAGTTGTTCCTAGATGCCCTCAGTTACCCTGTTATATTTAGCCCTGCAAGAGAGAACACGTCCCCGGAGACAGATTCCGAATCAAACTTTCATAATGCGCTTCATGTCTTTATGGAGAACGGTTCTCAGTTCGCGACTACCCTGAAGTGACTCTTGACGTTGGTTTGAATTGCACACTCACACACATATGCTCCTTTTCCTGACCGCACAGAAATTCAACATTTCCGTACTGCAGGACTATGCGAATGACTTAAAAAAAAAAAAAACGAACAGTACCTTTATCAAGCTCGCTGCCGAAAGCATGCTTTCACTTCGTCATAATCGATCTGCTCTTAATAAAGAAAAAAATCTTAACTCCATCCTCCAGGATCTCAACTGTTCGGAAGGGTGGGTCCAGAAACACATATACAGGGGGAAAACATGCCAAAATAGTCAATGTACTCGTTTCAGTAAATTTCAAATAAACAATTTTTGACTCCTTTTGGGGGTTGGGGTGGGGCATATCTCCCGTTACGCCGTCCCCTTGTGTAAAGAATAAACCTGGAGACATTTCTGCTTTGGAGTTGTGCCACCTCTGAGAACATGCTCAATCTCCCTGAAAAGTGAGGCTTTTTAACAAGAAGAACTAATTGCACCGTGTTCACTGAGGCGGCAAATCTGCCGCCACACATTACTTTAAAGTCATTTTGCTTTCACCGTCACTTTTCACTCAACTGGCGCGAGTTGAAATGCATAATACATGTACACGGACCACAACCTGTCGAGTTTCTCCCGAGAAAATTCATGCAAAGAGAAACAAAGTGCCTTTGTTTTTTATTGAAGGTTTTGAACAAATATTTTTGTATTACTTCAGCACACTGCTCGAAGAAAAAAAGCCAAACAGCTATCTGTCATTATTGTCTTGTGATATTGTGACAGGCCCTGAGCCAAATTTACTCGGTACATATATCTGAAAAGCAGTAGTTAACGCTTAGTGACTTAGTGCCATTCAAAGTAACATTTTTTTCCACATCAAAATGAAACATACAAGCATAAAATCAGGAATAGCTAAATAAATCACTACATAGCATGGTCAACAAAGTCGAAAAGGCTTGTAGTAACGAAGCCTGCTTCAGTACCCTGACACAATATGCTTAACTTCTTATACCAAACTTGATATTCTTGATAATCGTGCTCCCAAATTAATAACAACAGTTTCCTTTCTTAAATTGCAGTGTCTCTTCAGCAAAACCGGGTAGAACCATGAATAGTCTTTGTCACGTGCTCGTCCTCTCGGCTGCCTTTTGCTTATTTCTGGCGCTTACGTCGGGCTACCCACTCCAACAGGCCGGCAACGCCCTAAGAGAGGACCTCATGGAACGACGAAGCAGCCCACAAAGGCTCACAGTTGATGACCTTCTAGACTTCTTAAATGAGAGGTACCAGGAAAGCCCAGGTATGTTCATTGCTTGTTTTTTGCTGCAAACCTGTTTTTTACGTTGGCCGTGGCACTTGCCAACTTTGATCTGTGAATCTTTGTTTTGCTGATACAACCTCGTTTTCGTCTTCTGCAGAGAACGAAGAAAGTGCCCGATCCTTTTTCTCTAACTTCTTCGTCAGATTTGTCGTAATGAGTCATGACTGACTCTTTGTGACCCATTCAATTATGGCATCCTCTTCTACAGTCAACATTTAAGGGCCTGCCTGTTAGCTTTTTCATTCCATCACTCTAACGATGTTTTTGTCTCCTCATTCACGTCTACCTTCACATGACCGAAGACAATGATCATGTCGAGGCTGTTACCATCTCTTCTCCATACATGCCCATCGTAGAGTTCAATCCTATTATTTCTTGGACATGCGGGAAGCTATCACAATCCTATTTCCGACGAAAGTCAATTTTGTTCCTTTCAAGATACTGTCAGCACCTTGAGGTTGTTTCAGCTGTTCACTGAAAATTCGTCCGAGTAAATTGCTGACAACGTTAAAGGGACGTCATTGCAATATAGTTTTTTCTAAAATGCAAACCTTCAAAGTTCACCTTATTTGTGTCTCGGCTAATCTCAGTTTCAATTTGTATTTCATTGTTTGGAAAAGTCATTATGCTGCCTTTTTGGTTTTTATGTTCATGAAATGTTCATCTTCCCAGCAAAAGTTGCAAAACTGTCATCTTGGGAGGAAAACCTTGGTATGTGCACAAAAACTTGATTAACAAAAATATTTTTCTGGTCGAACGTTTCTTTTCAGTGGTGATTTGTTGTTGCGCAAGTATATAGCAATATTAATCCAGTGGCAAACGTTGTTCACAGTGAGTAGATTCTTATATGGCTATTCAAGCATGGGCAATTTTGAATGTTCAAAAAGTGTGCTTTTCATTGCACTTAACCTTAACGGAATATAAAATAGCTTTCATAAACTCAAGAAGACTATGCACTTGCGGGAAAATTTGTCTTCGAAAATTTCATTGCCGCTTCTCTTTAAAATGTATGCGAAACCATATCCTTCGTCTTTTGCCAGTTTTGCTGTTTTATACGTAGAATAATCATGTAATAGGCAATATTTGGCTAAGGAGTAACCTCTTATACATGTACGTTTGTGGGGGAAATCATCTATTCATGACATTTCAACGACCATGAATATGTAGGGCCTATATGAACTTTACAAATGTGAAAGAAAACATTATTTGACCTTGGGTTCTCAACGTCTGTGCAAACCTGATTTGATCGTCTCCAGTTGAACGAGATCTCTTTCTCATTCAGCAAGGCTTTTGCAGAGCGGGTGGGAATGTTTTCTTTGATCAATAGTGCCTTGTGTGATCGCACTAAATGATTTCACAATGGGCAGCGGAAGCCGAGTGACAAACGGGTGGAAAGGTGCCTTTGTTGACCTTACACTATGTCATTCAGCCCTCAAACCTGTGAAATTCACCTTCCATTTTCAAGTCAAGCAATGTTTTGTTGAATAGAACGGACAACTGTCCTGATGGAATTGTGTTTGTCACGCCTACGGGTTGGTTAAAGAACAAAGGACGGGGTTCTAAGCCTTAGCGGATATGATCCACGGTTCATAAGCCTCTTCTTTTAAGGATCAAATGCGGCATTATAACTTCAAGAAGGTCTTTGTGTACAGTCGGAACAAAGCTGGGAATCATATTACATTCATTCACAGGACCTTTCGTCTCTCAATGCTGCCCGGCTCACGCGTATTACCATCTCTCAGGTAGTTCATCAGTTATCTTACGAAGATGGCTCGGGCCATGTTTGTTGTAGTGCAACTGCTGTGTTTTTAAAAGCACCGGAGGCATGTAAGACTAACATAATGTAGTGGTGCTGTAAATCACAATTACCATTTGCATTGGGTCCATTGTTAAAATTAGCGAACTGGGAAAGATATTCTCAATGTTTGAGTAGGAAAACTACACCATTACGTGAGGTTTTAGGGACACACACATTTATGTGTTTATACCGGAAGTTCATACTATCCATAAAAATTTATAGAATGATATACATTTAAGTTAAGGTTACCATTCAGATATTTTTGATCCGTGTTGCCCCTCAAATTGTTCAATGAAAGCAAAGTTGTAAGTGCCATTTTCAGCTGTAGACGTCACTGTGCCACTAACATCCCGTTCTTAGAAAGATTAATTGATGCTCAACATTCTACCGAACTTGAATCCCCTTGACTGGAAGGATTTTTTTAATGCAACCATCGCCACTTCCCCGAGATTATTAGCTACCTTTTTCCAACCCATTAAACGGATTAAGGTGCAAATACATAAGAGCTGACTTTAAAACGACATTTCACTCTACCGGTTCGGTGAGAGTTAAGACTGGTTCAACCGGGATCGCAAATATTGTCGTAATGGGAATCTCATAATCTTTCTTGTAATTCCGGCTGAACTTGCTCGGGCATCTTAAGCTGGCTACCTGCAATGAAATTTGGCCTGGAGCAACTTTGATGAGTCTGTACACTTCGACATTAGTGCCTCACCCTACATGCACTGTCCACTAAAGGCACAGTTCATAGAGAAAGGGTTCGATCTTGAAGTCTTGAATTAGGTATCGCGCTGCGGCTACCTCTATCTGCGTGGTATTCTGATGTTAACTCAAAAGCACATCGCAACATTTGCTAACACGCACCAGTCTCTACAATATGCAGCTATATACCAAACGATGTCATTACTGAAGTTTACCATGAATGGGGCTGCAGTGTAGAATTGGCTTACCGTTCATTTCCATGCCCACTATGTCATTCTGCATTTCCATTATGCTTAGGTTTTACATGCAGCGAGCGTGTCAAACCAATCTTCACATGATATATCAGGTCAACTTTTCTCTCTTTTCAACGATTTTTATTCCAAACGCCACTTCCAACAACTATCCTTTTTAACTCATGCACATCAGCGTTGATATTTTTTTCCACTGAAGCAACTGAGATTGAAGAGATCAATTTCCGGCAGACTCGACCTTTCTGCCCCAATCATCGTGAATGTCCTTCAAGACATTCAACCCTCACAAAACATTTCCATACCTGCCCCTGCACATGAATAAAATCGATATTTCTCTCGAAGACTGCTTTGAAATCCGTTTGAAACGTCGAGATTATAAAAGTGTTTGTCTTGCAAAAGCGTCCCTGCATTTGGAAGATGTGCGTGCGAATTGATCATTCATGCTAGACAAACTGAATCAACTTATTTGCGTTTTATGACGTCATTCCTTTACTTAGGGGTGGTCATTTTGCTGGTAAATCCGAGGGATTTCTTGCACAGGACTGCTGTAATGTAATAAAATACATGCGTTAGCAACGACCACAAACACGGACGCCGCTAGCAAAACACAGCAGGAAAAATGACGACATGGGCAAACTGGGAAACGATTTCCCGCCAATTCCCCGAGCCTCTGTTTCCACACACCTGCCCAGCTGAAACACACCTAGTGATGACCCTCATTATTATTTTCCCGGCACCCTTCCCTCCTGATAAAGAGAGGTGTTGTTACACTTTGGCAGCTGAACTGAATCCCATTTGGCCCCAAATCGTGGGTTTTCTTTTAATACAAAGATACAAAAGAAATAGCCCTACGGTGGCGTGAAATCCAGCATCGACCAACAAGCAAAAAGCAATCAGTGAACTTCAAGCTACTTCACACCGCCAACGATCCTGTGTTAGCCTAATTAATCAACAACATATAACTCTATACTGAACTGCAGCTTTCTTCAGGTATAATTTAAGACTCTTTGCACCTTCAATTTTACACCCCTTTACACACGATTTTCACCTTACACAGAGAAATACACCCATAAAAGCCCCTGTCCAATTAAAAAAAGCAAATGGACGTTACTCACGATTTTTTAAGCCGTGGGTAAACAAACTTTCGTGGCGATACTACTTACAACTCTACAAGAAAGGAAGAACTATTGAATGCAATAAAAAATTGTACCAAAAACTGAACTAAAAAAATCCTGCAACAAACAAACTACGTCGACAGCGGTAGGGTTTGTTTTCAAATTTGTTGTAATTGGAACGAACATTTTGGCGTGGCTTTGTGAAGGCTTGGTACTTGAAGCATTAGAAGGGTGTACTTGTTCTGACATAATTTACTTGTTCAAAAAATCTCAGTAGGCCTACAGCTTCCAATTCACAGAGGAGAAAAGGGGTAAAACCCAAGGGGACTATTAAAGCAAAGTCAGGAAGCATATGTCTGGACGATCAATAGACATAAACCACGATCGATTTTTCAAAGCTAGAATGCTCCAGGCTCACAATGACACGCGTCTTTCCCGTCAATGTTGCATGCTCCTGCCATTTTCGCCGCGTTCGGATTTGTTTCTTTTGGTGGACAAGCCTTTCTCGTCGGATTTCTTTGGTGTGCGTTCGGGCCTTGGCAACTGCTCTGGCGAAATTAAACGGTTTTGACTGATATGACGCGAGTCGGGGCGGGGGCACAAAAAGGCGGGCAAATTATTGTCGGCTTGTCCCTGGTTAACTCGACAGAGAATGGATGGAAGCGTGATTTCCCGTGAACTTTCTGTCTCCTGCATCCCAACATTGAAATCATCGCCTCTATCTTTCCTGTTACAATAGAACTATAATAGGTTAGTTACAGTGGTTTCTTTGAGTGTTTTGGTCTTCAAGAGATGGTGTATAAATACAAATGCAAAATTTTAACATTATGTATGCATTTGTGAAAAACCGTCTTAATAGGACCTAACGCATAATATAGTTCTTTTTGTCGACAAGAATATAATATCAAATCAGTGCTCTGAAATATGTGATTGCCGAGCTTTCGGTAACTGAGTACCTTCCTCAGGGCAAGCATATCTCGTCGATATTCTGATCACGGTGCTACGCAGCCCTTCCATAGTTCTTTATGTGCTATTTTCTCGTAAACATCCAAATTGACACGTTGATAAATACTGCTGGCGTCACATTATCACCTGTAATGAGGTTGGTTTGGA